CTTCTTTTTTATTGTCCTACCAGAGATGTTCAACTAGTGCCCGTGTTTAACCTTGTGTCACGGTCCCATGTTTCACCTGTTTTAAAGGACATGATGGAAATGAGGTGGCAATTTTATCCTGAGTAAGCAGGTTCATGTTCTGTCACCCTGCATGACTCACGTGGCCATCGCTCGTAGCAAACAGATGTTTTCATTCCAGTGGCATTGAACTCCTGTGGGCTGAGCAGTGGGGCTACATTGCAGGTGCATTGTCCCATTTCACTGGGAAGATTTGCCTTAACAAGTCCTATCTTAATGAATTATTCTGTTCGACCTGCCTTGTGACTTACACTGTCATGAGATCCTGCCCTTAGTATTAAAAACTAAGCACAGTTTTCCTCTCCCAAGGCTAGAGCTGCATAAAAAGACTTAAACTGAAGTGAAGAAATCCCCTGTCTGGATCAAGATAATTTTTCTCTGAGAAAAAGGAGAAACAAATACTCATGCACTTGGGAGAGGAGGAAATTCTGCTGTGGATTGTTCTTCCTCAGTCTTGTGAAAAAAAGGAATCTTGACTTAATACATGGTCTGTTTCCAAGCTATTGGCATCTTCCACAAATACAGGCTGGCTGGTTTACAGGTAGCAGTTTGTGTGGCCAAAGATAGTTGTCACCGTGCACTTTTTAATGAGTATACATGTATCTGAAGATCAAATGCTGTACTATTTTCAGAGAGGTCCTTTCAGATCCCCTTTTCTGGTTTTTGGGTGTTTTTTTTGGGGGGGGGTTGTTTTCGTTTTGGTTTTGGGTTTGGTTTGTTGTTTTTTGTGGGGGCTGTACTATTTTCAGAGAGGTCCTTTCAGATTCCCTTTTCTGGTTTTTGGGTTTTTTTTTTGGGGGGGGGGTTGTTTTCATTTTGGTTTTGGGTTTGGTTTGTTGGTTTTTGTGGGTTTTTTTGGTGGGGTTTGTTTGTTTGTTTGTTTTCTCTCCTTCCCCTCCTGCCATTTTCCTTCAAAGCTCAGTGGTCGAAAGCAGAGGGAAGGGACCTGGATGTTCTCATCCATCCACCTTCCTCACATCAGGAGCTACTGCGTGCATGTCATTCCTGACAGATGTTTGCCTCATCTGCTCTTAAAAATCTCCAGTGATGGGGCTTTGACAGGCAATCAGCTCCAGTGCTTTGCTGTGCCTGTCATGAGGAAGGGTTTCCTGATTCCTAACATGCAATTAGAGGCCGAGATTTCCCTGCAGAACCCATCACCAGGCTGCCCTTGCAGCCAAGCCAGCTCCACCACCTCTGCAGCTTCCTCATTAGGCCTTCCTGCCAACACTCTTCCATGGGTGACGTGTTCCCTTCTGCCAGGGGCAGCTGGGGCAGTGCAAGTGCTGCTGGTTTTGTGGAGTGTCCATCCCAGCATCCCGGGGGCCGGCGAGGGGCAGGTTTCCCTCCTGGATCCCACGCAGCTGACGGGAAGGTGGCTGCCTGCCAGTAGAGGCTATTGAATTAGGAGATCCAGTCAATCCCCGAGGGAGCTGCTGCCACGGGGAAGTTGCAGCAGGTTTGTGCTGATAAAACGAGCAGCACTCACCGTGGTTCCCAAACCTCAGAAGCCTTTTATGTCCTGGAACAAAACGTGCTGTGAGAGCGGTCGTAACATGCATGGCATGTGTGCAATCAGTGGCATCCAGCACTTTGGAGGTGCTTTTTTTTTTTTGGTGAGAGCATTTCATTTAGCAGTTTAAAAGCATTTAAAAAAAAAAAATCAGAGATGTCACAGTTTTGGCTTGATTTTTATTTTATTTTATTTTTTCACCATTGCTTCCTTTTAAAAGAACAGCACATGAAATACAACCAGTGGCAGCTAGGCCTGGTGGAGAAGCTGTAGATGTGAGTGAGGTTGAGGTGCTGGGGAACAGATGCAGTCACTTCCAGCAGTGACTGAGTCAGTGTAGATGTAATATCACAATATTACTTTTGCAAGATCAACTCTTGAGTGATAAACACTTCTTTAATATGCTTAGAACAGTGCTGAACATGGTAAGAGTGTTTTCTTCTGCAAACGAGGTACAACTGGAAGATGGTGGTAATGAATAAATGTAAAGCAACTGGAGAATTAGGTCTGACTGCTGAGGACAAGTATTTTTCACAGTGGAAACCAGCTAGCTGGACTAGGTGTGGTTTTGCTGCCTGAGCAAATGACAGCAGTATGTAGCTAAACAGGTTTAGAGACTAGGACAAATTGGTGACATCCAAAGTTGAATAAAATAAGGTCTAGAGTGGCAGGAGGGGCATGTTGCCATCAGCAGGGGTGAGCAACCTTTGTGCAAGTGGCAGTTTGGATGAGCAGGTCAAGGGTGGTGGTGTTTGTCCCTGCATTTTGACACATGCACTGCAGACACCCCGTATCCATTTCATTGTACAAGGTGTGTGTGTGCACCCAGATAATGCTCCAGAGAGTTACTGGCAGGTTACAACGTGCCAGCCATCACATGCACCATGTCTAGAATAGAGCCAAGATACAATTTCAGGGGCCTGGGGGGCACTGGCAGCACTCAGACCCCCACATAACACCTGTGCCTCAAGCAACATCTCCCCATCTCCCTGAACATCCCCTTGGCACCCCTGGTCCTCAGCTGGCAGCTCCTTTTCTGTCTCTGCAAGGCATTTTTAAGGCCCCATTGTCTTCTAGATGACCTGGAAGTGCTTCAGCAAGTTGCCCATATTCCTTCATGGAGGAGGAGAGGAAAAGGACAAAGTTTGTTTTCAAAGTGAGAACTGGGTTATTTTTTTACAAAACAGGGGCAGATTTGAACTTTATTTTCCCCACATTTGTTGTGTGAGGGAGGTTTCTGTTTCAAACTAATCATGAGAAGAACACATTTGCACCTTTCTCAATATAAAAGTGATTTCAGGTGCTCAGGAATGCTCTGCCTCTTCCTGGTGGTTTGAAGGAAAAATTGTTAACATCTTCTACCCTGCAACTGTTGAGGGCAGTGAGAGAAAATACCTCTAAGCTGCCAGGAAACATGCAGAATAAACCCCTTTCCCACTTCTTGTAATGATGATGAATTGTAGGTACTCCTCGAAACGTGCTTTTGGACCAACTTTGCACTTCTAAAAATGGTATGTTCTGTCAGGCAGAGTTTGTTTGTGCCCTGTGGGTGACAAGCAGAGGCCCAAGGCAAAGCTTTCCATAAGGTGCAACCCCTTCATGCTTCCCTAGCAACTTCCCAGGATCTGAAGGGGCCTGCAAGAAAGCTGGGGTAGGGCTTTTTACATGGGTGTGTAGTGAGAGGGCAAGAGGCAATGGTCTGAAGCTTAAAGAGGTGAGATTCAGGTTGGACATGAGGAAAAAGTTCTTTCCTGTGAGGGTGGTGAGAGCCTGGCCCAGGTTGCCCAGGGAAGCTGTGGCTGCCCCATCCCTGGCAGTGTTGAAGGGCAGGTTGGATGGGGCTTGGAGCAGCCTGGGCTGGTGGGAGGAGTCCCTGCCCATGCAGGGGGTTGGAACCTGATGATCTTTCAGGTCCCTTCCAACCCAAACCATTCTATGATGATTCTGTGATGAAAATCCCCGGTGCTGTTAACCCACATCTCCCGTTTCCCACCCTGACTCCCTGGGGAGAGGCAGGGGCCTGTTTGAAGGCAAACAAGCCGCAGAGCCTACGAGGTGTAAATAGCTTTCATAAAGGCCAACGCTGGAAAAGCCTGGGTGCTGTGAGTTTGGCACACCATGACAGGCAGTGCCGAGGGGGACACACACACGATTTTCCAGCGCTGCCACAGGCACCAAGAAGTGGGTGCGTTGTGCGTTGCACCCTGGAGCATCCCTGGATCCCCCCCTTCCACAGGGAGAGGGGGACGTGGGGCAGCTGGAGGGACAGGGACCAGAGCTACCTGCTCCTTGCCCCATCACCTCCACCTGCTCCACTCACCCCCCCTTCTCTGGTCACCCCCCCCCTTCCTCTGCCCACCTCCTCTTCCCTGGCTTCTTTGGGCAGGGTCTGATCTAAGCAGGTTGGCAGGGAGCCACGAGAGCATCATTTTAATGCAGTGTAAAATGGAATGTGCATAATTATATGCAAGCCATATGTGAGGGAGACAGCTCAGCTGTGGGTTTCGGGTGAGGCTGCGAGAGGGAGAGAGGGAACAGCCAGGGATCAGATGAGATGGAACGGAAAGGAGTGCAAGTGTCACCCAAATGAACAGTGTAATGAGTGTGTTCCTGACACTCCTCCTTTCCCCTGCTTCTCCCTTTTGCTTTAACTCGAAAGCAGAAAACGCTGCGGATGGGAAAGGAAAAAAAAAACCAACCCACAACACAACTATATGCAAGCAGGCTTGCTAATGGGCTCTGGTAATGTCTCCATTTAAACTTCAGCTTTCTTAATTAACAGCCTGGTTCCAAATAACCAGTAACTTCTCATGCATCTTTGTCATTAAATATTTTGACCGCGTCTGACTGAAGGATCATTGTTCTCGCTCGATGATTGCTCCTTTCAGAGCTTCACTTAAACGTGGAGGGGGAATCCATTTCTCTGTCATAGTGTCACATGTAAATGGCCAGCCTGAAAAACGTGTTTCTTTTTCCCTGGCCTTGCTGTGAAACTGCAAACATGTGGCCTGGGGGTTGCCTACGCATGTCGAAAAGTTTCAACCAGTCGCAAATGTCATGTCATCCTGAAAAATGCAACCGAGTAAAATGGAAACCCTGATCTGCTCTCACCATTTCCAGCTCCAGTATTTCGTTTTGGGTTTGTCTTTTGTTGTGCTAATTATTACACCGCAATGAATTTGCATGTTCAACCTACGTTATGTAAGAAAACAGCATCCCAAGTTCTTATATCTCAAAGGTTTACTGCATATTTAAAGAAACTTTTAAATGATGTTGTATTTTGGGATTCCCGTCTGTTTGAATGATCTGAGCTGTTATGCTTGTAGCTATTTTTTTTAATATATATATATTTTTTTTTTACCTTCCATTATTTGTAAGTCCCTAAATAGGCCATTATATTTCCCTTCAGGCTAGAGATGAAGATGGACATGCTGAAAATTTTCCCCAGCAGCACTATGCTAAGGAAACTCCAAGACTTGCCTTCAAGAATAACTGCGAACTACTTGTAAGAATAATATACTTACAACAAGTCTAGATTGTTACTTTAGCACAGTGAAAACAGTTTCATTTTAATTTTTTTTTAAGGTTTTTTGTTCGTTATGGCATACTTTATGACATATGATAGGGGTTTTTTTTATTTATTATTTCCTGTTTAGCCTTCTGATGCTAGTTCTGCTATCCGTGAACAATTTAAGATCTCAAATTGCTTGAAAAATCTCACCTATTTGATGACAGCACTTGAATGGCCTTGTCACACTGCCTTGTCTTGCACTGTAAATCAGGGAATGGACCACCCCCCACGCTCCCCCTGCCCTCTGAGGAAACCCCAAAACTCACTCTCCCATTCACCTTTTAGCTCTGCTTTGTTTCTGGGCAGTGGGGGCACTTTTTGTTCTGCTGACACATGGTATTCCCTTGAGGGTTTGCCTGTTCCTTCCCTACCTGGCTACATGCAGGTGGGAGCATCCTCTCCACTCCTGTCCTCTCCTCTCCTGCCAGGGAAGAGCAAAAGCCAGGAAAGCACGTACAGGGAGCCTGGAGTGTTCACAAGCAGTAAGAGAGATGATATCAGCTGTGAGAGGATCTCTGTTCCAAACCAGGGTTAATTCCCTGTTCGTTTGAGCATTTGCAGCTAGGCAAGATTAAAAGCAAGCAGGAAT